AGGCAAATATAATATTAGAAAAATGACAAAAAAGTATAGCCTTGAAAGTATACTGAGCTAGAATCAGTAACTTGGCTTCAAGTTTGAATTCAGTTGTTGCTTTGTAATCACGAGTAAGTCCTTCAACCAGTTTGCATTCCAATGTCTTAACCCATATAAGCACCATAATGGTATTGTAAACACCACAGTGTTATTATAGCTCATGAGCCCCAGACCTTGGGGTAGTCCTAAGGACCTCTAGGCACATTTGGAAAAGTGTGGCTTGGTAATCTATAAATCAAGTTCCTGGGACATATCGTCTTAGATCAGAGAGCTAAATGATGCCAAACAAGGAGGCCAGTGTACTGCAGTGACAAGCTCCTGAGACCATGAGTACTGTACCGAAGGTTGCAAGCTACTCCAGCCTGATGTACTCCTGAGACAGGGAAGCAGATTCATCTGGATTCCAACTGAGTTAGAGAACTATGTATCAGTTTGACTCATTACCAGGTAGACAATCTGAGCCCTAATACACACTTTTCAAGCAAACTGTCACTAATGAAAGCCAACTGTTTCATTACAGACAGTAAGAACTGCTTGTTTTATTTATTTATTTATTTTTGAGACAGAGTCTTACTCTGTTGCCCAGGCTGGAGCACAAATGGTGTGATCTCGGCTCACTGCAGTCTCTGCCTCTCGGATTCTAGTGATTCTCCTGCCTCAGCCTCCAGAGTAGCTGGGATCACAGGAGTCCGCCACTACACCTGGCTAATTTCTATATTTTTAGTAGAGATGTGATTTCAACATGTTGTTCAAGCTGATCTTGAACTCCTGACCTCAGGTATCTACCTGCCTCAGCCTCCCAAAGTGCTAGGATTACAGGCGTGAGCCACTTTGCCCAGCCTAGATTGTTTTAGATTATAGCTATCATTGTTTGTGCTAGCTATATGCCAGATGATATGCTAAGTGCTTTATGTATATTATCTAATTTGAATGATAATACAGCCTATAAAAAGTGGGTGCTATTATTATTCCCACTTTATAGATGAGAAAACTGGAAGATTAGAGGAGTTAATTTGCCCAAACTCACACAATAGTTTGTAAATGTTGAGCATGTATTTAAACTAGTAGAAGGACTTTATTATGCCCCCTCTCTAATATAGCTCCATCTCCACTTGAGAGGCAAGCTTTATTCATGAAACTCATACATGGACTCTACAAGTGGTAGCAGTGAGCAGGTATTGGAGATTTAGAGACATGGTCTTGAGAAATCTAACATCCAATTGCTGTAACGCCAATAGCTTTGAATTTCAAAGAAGCTCAGCCAGAGCAAGGGGTAGTGGGTTCTTCCTTCGGACAGTTTTTCTCACTTATTAGGATGTGTTGAGCCGGGGATTGTTATGAGAATGAGACTGAGGTGAGACTTTTCAAATGGAGAACCTAGCCTGGCCCCTTTGCTACATTATCATCATCTGATCTTACTGCAGACTCAAGGACCACTCTCTGGCCCCATTCAGGATTGATGAGATTACAAACCTTATTTTCTTCTGCAGCATAGGTCACCCTGCTGGTCAGTAGCAGAGGAGGATATAAACACAGATCCATTGGACCAGGTGTGGTGGCACATGTTTTGAGACTCTTGTCTCAAAAAATAAAAATAAAAAAGTAAAAAATAATCACAAATCTGTTGGACTCCAGAGTGCATGTTTAAACAACCATGTTTTAATACATAATATACTATCTGGCCAGGTGTGGTGGCCCATACCTGTAGTCCCAGCACTTTGGAAGTCAGAGGTGGGCAGATCAGCGGCCAGTGTACTGCCTCTGAGGTCAGGAGTTTGAGACAACATGGTGAAACCTCGTATCTACTAAAAAGACAAAAAATTAGTCAGGCATGGTGGCATCTTGTAATCCCAGCTATTTGGGAGGCTGAGGCAGGAGAATTGCTTGAACCTGGGAGGCGGAGGTTGCAGTGAGCTGAGATCATGC